AAAAATATGGGCAAGTGCCCCGTGATACTCCCCACACGTCTATAAAAAACAAAAGTACCCCTACCAGCCAAAAAAAAAAAAAAAACGGAGTTCCCGCTCACCGTGAACTCCGTGAACTACTGGCGTTCACGATTTTCGTGAACGGTGACCGGTCTCCGTTCACAACCCTCGTGAACGGTGAATGGGGGTACGACACTGGTGCAAGCTTAGAGGCATGAAAGACTGGGTGAGTGCGTAGGTGTCCAGGGACGCGAATGACATATGTGGGCTCATCCATCTCATCTCCCACTATATTCGGGACTTCCCAGGGACCAAAGTACTGAGGCAATAGTTTACGAGAGATTCCGAACTCCTGTCCTAACTCACTAGCCTTGACCCAGACTCGTTCCCCTTCTTGAAATGTGGACTGTTTGCGATGTTGATTCTCATAAGCAATCATTGCTTGCTGAGCTTTCTTCATATGCTCGACAACCTCTTGCAGCAACTTCTCATATTGCACACCATACTCTAGTGTGCCTGGAGTTGCAGCGGGTCGGTTTTCAGGTAGGAGGAAGTCTTGTGCTGATCTAGGCTTCCATCCCAAGTGCAACTGATTTGGACTAACGCCGGTACGACTATGGATAGCATTGTTGTACAAGCTGGCGATGAGAGGCAACTGCTCATCCCAATCATCTTAGCTGGGTTTGATATAATGCCGCAGCAAGTGTTGTACTACTCTGTTCATTTGTTCGGCTAGTCCGTTGGCTTCGGGATGATTCCCTGAAATCATTTGAAGTTGACGGCCATCTGTTCTGCAGTCTTCCTCCACAGTTCACTTGTGAATCGGACATCTTGATCACTAATGATTGACTTTGGTAAACCAAAGTCACGCAGCCAGTTGTCTTTGAACAACTTGATGACGAAGTCAGTTCTTGCGGTCTCTGGCATAGCCACTAGTCTAGCGTACTTGGTGAATCGGTCGATGATGACGAAGATGTATTTCTTGCCACTCTTACTCGTCACCAGGGTGTCCATGAAATCCATGGAGACACTCTGTCCTGGACCAGCAGGGATAGGCAAAGGCTTCAACAACCCAAGTGGTGCTTGAGTCCGCGGCTTATCCCGCTGACAGACCTGACAGGTCTCTACGTACTTCTTTGCGTCATCAAACATATCAGGCCACCAAAATCGTTGTACTAAGTTAGCACTCGTCTTCTTGTAGCCAAAGTGCCCAGTCGTGTCATGGCATTCGCCTAAAAATAAACTACGCAAGGGTTCACTAGATGGAACTACTAACCGTTTTATTCCTGCTTTATCAAGATAGAGTAACCCGTCCACCATCACAAACTCACTTTCCGTGGCCTTGTCTTTTGCCTGAAGCTTGCGAATGATGTCCATCATGACATCATCTTCCTGATAGGCTCCCACCAATGATTGAGTTACTTCTTCAGATACGCCAAAGTCAGATACTAGCGCACCTAGGTAGTCTGCTCTACGTGATAGCGCATCAGCAACCTTGTTATACTCTTCCTTCAGGTACTCAAGCTTGAAGTCATATTGATCTATGACCTCAATCCATCGCTTGAGCGCGTCAGAAAGAGCCGGTTGAGTCTTGATCCATTTGAGGGTCTGGTGATCAGTCCTCAAGTAGAAGAACCTTCCTAGAAGGAAGTGTCTCCAATGGATAAGTGCTTTATACAGAGTATAGAGTTCCCTCTCGTAGGTGGACTTTGCCAACTTCTTCGATGGCATCTTCTTGCTCATTTACTCAATCGGTCTCAACTTTCTCCCATCCTGTTGAGCCAGCACTGCGCCAATGTCGTATTGGCTTGCGTTAGTGGTCACTATGAATGGCTTCTGCGGATCGAGAACCATGAGAACCTCATGATTAATGAGTGCATGCTTCAATCTCTTGAAAGCACCCTCGCACTCATCACTCCAGTCCCATGGCGTGTCAAGTCGAGTTAGATCAGTCAAAGGAGAGGCGACTGTAGAATAGTTCTTAACAAAGTTCCTATAGTAACCGCACATTCATAAGAATGATCTGACCTCAGTGACTGTCTGAGGTCGTGGCCAGTCTCGAATACTAGCCACCTTCGCATCTTCCGGCCTAATTCCCTCCGCGGAAAGTTCATGATCCAAGTATAGTATCTTAGTGATACCAAATTCACACTTCTCTAAGTTGACCTTATACTTGTGTTGTCGCAGGAGTGAGAGAACTGTCTCAACATGTTGTGCGTGCTCCTCGGCAGACTTACTAAAGATCAGAATGTCATCAAGGTATACCACGACAAACTTATCTAAATGGTCATGGAAGATCCGATTCATAGCGTGCTGGAACGTACCCGGCGCATTACAAAGACCAAAGGGCATCACGACAAACTCATACAGACCATAACGAGTCTGAAAAGTTGTCTTGTGTTGGTCCTCACGTCTTATTGCGATCTGATGATATCCGGATTTCAAGTTTATCTTACTATAGTACTTGCATCCCTGCACCCTATCCAATAGGTCGTCTATGCAAGGTAGAGGCTCTGCGTTTTTCACAGTGATGGCATTGAGGCCTCTATAGTCAATGCACATCCTCAAAGTACCCCCCTTCTTCGGTACGAATAGAACGGGTGATCCGTAAGGGGAAGTACTAGGCCGAATCCAACCCTTCTCTGTCAGCTTCTTAAGCTGTTGCCGAAGTTTATCTAACTCGGCGGGGGCCATCCTATAGATCCTTCCCTTTGGGGTCTTACTCCCAAGAATGATTTCTATAGC